GACTGAATGGCTAGTAGATTTTATGACCCAGCTGTGCTGTTACTCAGCCAGTCAGACAGTATTGGAGTGTGTGTATATAATGTCAGGTGAAGCTGGTTTGACCCTGAGGTTCTTTCCATGCTCTTGAGCAGAAAATGGCTCATTATTATGCGTCACTGTAAACAGTATTCCAGTGTCTGTGCTATTTCTGTCTGCTTCCTGTTTGGATGTGCACACAGGTTATTTACAGTGGGATCTCTTAGACGTTTACAGTGTGCTCTATTTGCTATCATATGTTTCCTCAAACACGTACAATCACTTCAGCAGCCTTTCCGCACACTCAGTGACCGTGTGCTGTTTATTCCATTATGGATCTGCTCACATGGACACACTCAAAAACAAGTGTAACTCAGCAGTGACTACAGTAAAGGTCACAGACTTCAGGACCATCAGGACTCACACTAACAGACTGAGGAACGGCTTCTTCCCTAGAGCTGTAGCCTCTGTTACACCCCTCCCCACACACACCCATAGCTACCGAAGACTGAAGGCAGCAAACAGACCAGCCTGTCTTAACCCCCACCCCCCCTAAGTTGCTGCTAATGCACTGAACTACCTGTGAAATACTGGTTAATTCATGTTTACATTGTTCTGTTTGCACTGTTTGCATATATATATATATATATATATATATATATATATATATATATATATGCAAACAGTGTGTGTGTGGGGGGGTGTTTTTTCTTCTGCTGGTTTCTCTGAGAGCTTCACTGTAAAACTACAAAGACAATAAAGTTTTATCCATCATATCTTATCTAAAGCTATAGACAAATGAAGAGATTAACAGCCTCTTTGATATTATGCTCTAAATACATTGAGTAAAGCCACATAAATAGTTGAAAGATTCTACCATGGTAGAATACTACTGAGTATTTTGAAGTTTATTTGCTAGAAAAAGTTCTACTTGTTACATTTCTGTCACAAACAATTAGTTACTAATTTGTTTCTCTGTTTAATTTCATTCTGTTACAGCATCTGTACTGTATTGGTCACACCTTTGATTTTTTATGATTTTATGTTAGAAAAAGTCTTGCCAAAAAGAGAAGAGTGTAGCTGAAGAACCTTGCATTCATGTGCTGATGTGGAGGCACTAAGAATTTTTACATGGAACTCAGCACTTAAGCAGTTTTGACCTGGTACTTCACTTCTACTTAAGTTCTAAGTTGTTTTTCTGGATAGTTACTTTTATGTGCGTCACTATTTCATCAAAATAACAATACTTTTGCTGGAGTATGGCTTAAGGCATGTCTTCCCATGTTTATTGTCATCAAAAAGTTGACCTTTCATCAGGAAATGATTGATAGATCTCCATTCTCTTAAGTGCATTTGGTCAGAAGAATGTATTAAGCAATGTAATTTGTTTATTTGTGTGTTAGCATTCCAGCTTTATTTTAATAGGAAGTGAATGTTTAATTGTTATTGTTCATGAATTGCTTTCATCAAATCTTCCAGAGCATTAGAAGTTCATTAGCTGAGAAAGATGATATTCCTGCTGTCACTTAGCTGTGGTATCAACCCTGGGCATATTTTACAAAACCAGCACCAAACAAACAGCATTTGGACTTGATTTTGGTTCTGTACAACTCAGTCTCAATCAGCTTTACCAAAACGAGTTTATGTTTTGCTGTGGTCTTTCTCTGGCAGCCATATAGACGCCTTGAAGAGCTTATGTACTGCATATATTCATTCCGAGAAATGGTTTCAAACCAACATATGACTGTAAACCTCTATCTGGAGTGATTTATGACACTTATATCCAGCATAGGCAAAGGCATAGGCCTATTCTCAGGGGAAAAGGGATTTTCAGATTCAATCACATATGCGCATTCACACATAGCCACACATGCAAAAGAGAAAAGGAGAAGGACAAACATCTGCAACATCAAACACCAAGCAATGTATAGGAAAGAAAGCAATGCATATGAAGGAAAATGACCACAGAATATGACGGATAGAGTTTTATTTGCTTGTCGTTAAAGAGAAATAATCACATCTGTACACTCCGCATGCAAGAGACGGTTTTAAATAAGACATAAATACATCAAATATTCCAACGCAAACTCTTCACATACTCGGTTCGTGTGTTATCTACAGAGAAAAAACTACAGTGCTGAAACAAGTCTCTTAAAGTCAGTCCAAATAACTAGAAAAACAACTTAAAGATGGAGATGTAAGTAGATATGCAGTATTAAGTCTGAGGAATATTCATGTTCTTAATCTGGTTGCCATATTCAGAGTCTTGAAAGTACTTTTTGAGCTCTTATGAAAGTTTTACAGCACATTTTTCATACTTCTCAGTACTGTTTCAATTAAAACCCAGTCATTTCCTATACATTTTAATTAAAGACATATTAAGCTGTAGTAGAATATTATATGACAACAATTTCATTCAATAAAAAAGCTCACAAATGCCTCTGTGCCACAGCAGTAGACCACAAAGAGGCCCAGGCGGATGTATATTTTATGTATAAGTTCTCTCTCTCTCTCTCTCTCTCTCTCTCTCTCAGGGAGATTAGATCAACAGAAATATTTGCAGAATAAACAAGGTATGTGTTTCCAGACTTTTCTGAGCATAAATGAATCAACACAAACTGAGTGAAGCTTCTACTAGCCTCAATGTAAAAAAGCAAACAACCGCGTTAAAGTTACATGGAGAAAGAAATCACTTTACAAGCTTCACAACAGGCCTCCTGCTTCATTTATCATTTTCCCTTTTAGTCCTGGTGAGTGAGAGATATGCAGAATGACAAAATATTTACCCACTTTGATATTGCTTTTCTATTTCCAGAGTAATCTGGAGATTCCAGAACATTCAGGAACATTGAAGAACATTCTATCCAGCATTGGTGACTCTTACAAAGGATGTTCAGGCATTTACTACCAATGGGATCGGCTGAGGAGTATTATATAAATATCTCCAATTGTTTTGGCATTCTGACCATATTTGTATAGTCTTAGCAAATATTATTTCACTGAATTCACTTTAACCAGCAAATAGATCATTTACTGCATCTTTGTTTCGTTGTGGAATGTAAAAAAGGTTTGTATTTTTATGAAGTTGTAGTTTAATGAGTTATCGTTATCTATAATACTAGTAATAAATATCAATAATTTATAATTGCAATAATGCACTCAAGACAGTACTGATCTAACCAGCCAGTATCTCACAGTATAGCTGTTTGTGTAGTATATCATAAATAATGAATAGCAGAAATGGTTAAAATCACATTGTTAGCTAATAGCATTTAGCAAACACAGATTTCAATATAAAATGCAAACTAATGGTTTCAGTAATGATCAGGATGTAATACAGAACTTACTGACCTATGTATTAGTAGCAACGTCAGATAAATAGCTACTTGGCAGATTTTGGCTCTAGTCATTGATGTTTTTTCACACACACATATATATATATATATATATATATATACACACCAATTTCTAGACTTCATACTTATTGTAAGTATTTTTTTGAAGTGCATTCCCAAATCTGGTATTATTGCTTGAAACAAACCAAAGTATCTGCCATTGCAATGACATAATTTTACTTTTTTGAGGAATATTACAAACATTTAAGACACTTTTGCTCTCCAAGGTATTGTTTGCAGCGTATACTGAAGCATTCTGTGAGCAATGTAATGAACACACCCATTAGCTTCTGTTATAGAAACCTATATCAAGTTGGGTTTTAATAAAATCAAAGCACACTTAAAAATGTTTCTTTGAATTTACTCGATTCAAATGTGTAAAAAATGTGATTCAACTGGTTCCACATGAATGAAATATATTATATCATCACAATTACTGTCATTCATTTTACTTTCTTTTAGCAAGAATTATGTAGATGTATTTTATTTTATTCATGTTGAGCCGATGTGCACACTTTAATCAAGTAAATTCAAAGCAAGCCTCTTTTTCAGAGCCATATATTAGGGGTGGGCAATATGAAAATATTTATCAGTATCACAATAAATTGCGACACATAATGTAAAAACATGCTTTTGTGAGCAAATTGTGGATAATATCTGTACAACACTAAACAACTGCATGTTTAATTACAAAGACAGCATAATTAGGCCTGGATTAAGTGCAGCACAGTACGTAAACAATGAGTAAAAATAACTGCATTCACAATTGTTGATAGTATTTTTTCAGTGTGGTTCTTTTTTCCTGTTCCAACTTATCAAACCTCAGAAAAGATAAAACTATGATATCTTCTATTGTGAGAAAGTCTTGAAGTATTATGATATTAGTATTGTCATATTTTTGCTGTATAACCCATCCCTTCCATATAGGCTCTATTTGTCCTGTTGAATCTCCAACTGTCGTCAAATTATAACAAAAATGACATCATAGAATAGCAAGATAACAGGAGACACCATACAAAATTAGCTCCACAGGTTCATCTTAAACTGAGAGCAGTTAAGATAGTAAACACATTATATACAGCATCTGACAGTCTGTGAGAGTGAGAGGAGTGTGTATATTGGAGCATGTGTCTTTAAGTTTGAGAAAGATTAAAGTCTTTCTAACTAAGAAACTTCTTGGTCCATCAGTCTGTCTCTCACTTTTCTCTCAGTGTCTGTGTCATTCTACTGCTTGTATCCCGCGGTGTACGGTTCCGTTCTCCCGTGTTCTTGGTGATCCTGGTTTTCCGTGCTAAGTCTTGCGCTTGTCGATATTTGTCCATCATGTTCTTGTGTTTCCGTCGCAGCTTCTCGTTGCACCAGACGCGCTCGCAGTATTGCTCCACTTGAGGGAGGTTCGATGGACCAATCAGCTGCAATACATCCTTAAACCATGCCTTCCCTGGGGTGCGACTGACTGGACCCAGGTGGGTGGGGCATGGAGGCCACGCCCTGTGCTTGCTGTCACGTGACAGAAAATCGGAAAGGGTGTCTCCTCGTAAGACATCCAGCCAGATACGAGAGATGATTTGGGTAAAGCCGTGTTCGCGAGAGCGGCACACGTACACACCTTCATCATGACGTAACACGCGACGGAACAGCAAGCCCTCTTCTGTTTTTACTACCCGCTCATCCAGCAACACCTGCAGAAAGCAGAAAACTAGAAATGAATAACATGCTTGACTGAATGAATCAAAATAGGTAATCAATCAATTGTTGATGAATCAATGCCTCTTTTAGAACAATATGCATGTGTAGAAGCAGTGTCACTGCTGGACTGAGAATAGTCCACCAACCAAAAATATCCAGCCAACAGTGTCCTGTGACCACTGATGAAGCACTGGAGGATGACCAACACAAACTGTGCAGCAACAGATAAACAGCTGTCTCTGACTACATCTACAAGGTGGACCAACAAGGTAGGAGTGTCGAATAAAGTGGACAGCGAGTGGACAGACTCCAGCAGCACATCTGTGTCTGAACACACCACCACCATGTCAGGGTCACTGCAGTGCTGAGAATGACCCACCACCCAAATAATACCTGCTCTGTGGTTGTCCTGTAGGGGTCCTGACCATTGAAGAACAGGGTAAAAGGGGGCTAATAAAGTATGCAAAGAAACCTATATAGTAAGTGGAGCTGATAAACAATGGGCAATGAGTGTAAAAACAAGGTGGTTTTAATGTTATGGCTGATCGGTGTACATGTTTTGTTGATTTTAGTGAAAAGTTGTTAAACGTTCACCACAGGGAACAATACATTTGCACAGGCCACATTTTACATTTTTTGTGTTTTTCCAAAATGTTAAATTTAGCAAATAAACAGTCATTGTGCACTAAAGTGTACAGAAGTGTGTTATTTGACTTAATTTCACCTAGAAAATCAACAAAACATTGGACCAGGGGTGCATTTTTGGCGTTGTGGAATGGAAAAAATGTTGAGGATATATATCCTTAAATGGCCCTTAATAATGTTTACATTATTCTTTCTTTAAAACAACAAAATATACACTGCAAATGATGAATGGAATGATGTATAGCTTTGGAAGGTTATATTTTAAATATAAAACAAGATTTTACATGTTAATATGAAATGAGAGAAAAGGGAAGAGTAAAACATTTATTTAAAATGTTTCACAGAAACATCTTTTTCTCACCTCCTCCAGATGTTCATCACGCTGTACATGCCAGGTGACAGTAGCTTGTGGAGAGCGAGGAACACACTCCAAAAATGTGCTGTTGTTCTCTGTGCCATAGACAACCCTGTCTTCAGCCATGTCCATGTCTTCCACTAGAGACAAAGCACACTGTTAGAACAAAAACGCCCAAAGCCATTTCACCCCTCGCCCCTACCACTTAGCCCTACCCCTCCGTTTTGGACGCTCACGTCTAGGGGTAGGGTGTCACGATTTTTGTTGAGATAGAGGGGTAGGCTGAAGTGGCCCTCCAAATGATGGTTTTTCAGAGGCACACTCCAAACAGAGTGTTATGAGAAAAAAAGAACAACTGGCAAGATGGCTGCACAAGTGACCACAGAAACCCACAAATGTGAATATTTCCTCTGTTCGAAAATTCCAATAACCATTGTATTGTCTTAGTTTAATGTCGTTTCAGTGTATTATGGTCTTTTTCTTCATGACAAGCATAAAAAATCCCTAGTAGTATGCTGACGTCTCAGTAGCTAGCTAGCTAAATTTACCGCTCCACCTTAAATGGTGCAGCAGTTCTGATGCCTGAGGCCATTTAAGGTGGAACAGGAAAATTCGCACAAGAATAATTGTGCCCCCCCCCGCCTTTGAAGGCATATGATTCCGTAAATGTAACTAAAGTCCAGCAGTGAGGTTGCAGAACTTTACTCTCCTCTGCTATCAATGCAGACTGGGAGGGTCGCCTACAGAGCACCGCTAGTAGCCTGTTAGTGATGTAATGTTCTGTTTTGAAGGTTGTACCATTTCATAGGGGAAGGTTTCAACCACTACTCCTTGTAATTCAGTTCCAAGGGGAACGGTGACACACGAAAACAAAGAGTAGGAGTAAAAATAAGAAATGGGAATGGGCCAAAAAAAAGACCCACATACTCACATCTGAGCATTTGTGGTGGGGAAGTCAGTGACAATTTTTTCTCCACATACCCAAACGAAAGCAGATGACAGTAGATTATGTGGGTAAGTTATCTGTTTGCGAGTGTATGCACATGTAGGTGCTGACAGACGCAAGAGTCTTCTCAGACGTTCCAAGTGGTTCACTGAAAGGTCAAACATCACGTTTCCATAATGCAGCTAGGTGTGTGTGGGGATGCGGTGATGGGCCTGTCAGTCTGCTGAGGGGTTCAGAGTGGTTCATTCAGAGGTTAAACCTCAGCTTTCCAAATGCAGCCGTGTATAGGCGCGTGTGAGTGTGTGATGTGCTCTATAGGTCAGAGCGTTTCATCAAACTCATCCGCTCTCTCAGGTGTGTAAACACCTCTCTGCTCTCTTCTCTTCCCCTTTTTGTTCCATCTCTTCTTCTTTCCCTCTAAAGTGATGAGAGATGGAGTGTGATCTGTCCAAATAGCTTTCAGCTGCTGAGTGTTTCTGAGTTAAATAGTTCATGAAGGTCAACCAAACACAACAAAAGATTTCATAACACTTTAAAAATCTATTGGCTTGTACCAGCAACAGGCTAGTAGATTGCCTGTGAGTCAGGGCCTGTTGCCATGCCTCAGAAACACAAAGATCTTCCTCCTCAGTCACCATGAGTGTTTGCTATGATAAGAATACACTTTGTAAGTGTGTCATGATCTGTACCAAAGCCAACACCAGTCTATGCATTAAAATACTAACACACTTTGAGATGACATACAATGTTGACTTACAATGAGCCTGTTGGACTGAATTAAAAACTATGAACAAGCCAAAGTTTGGAAGAAGTGCTATCTTTGCAAAAATAAACATGAAAATTGTTGTTTACAAAAATGTACAGTCATATCATTATTATTATAGAACAAAAGAATTACTAACTCCCAAAGATTATGAAAGCTTTTCCAGAGGTATGCCCATCTTTAAGATGAAAACAAAGTCATTCAGAGTGGTTTGATGCAAAATGTGCCATTTTAGACAACCTTGTCAAGCAAGAATTGTTCACAGCAGTGCTGAAAGTAACCAGACATGTTTAATGCCTCTAAATTCTACCTCTCAAAAAGTTATTACACAAATTGGTTTATGTGTAAATATGTTGCATGGTGTCTGAGACATTGTTTTACAATAGATCTGAGGTTTTGACTGAAAAATGCATTTTTGAAATACATTCAGGCTGGAGAGGCAGGAGATTGTAAAGCTAAAGAGTACCCAATGAAAACATATATATTTTTTAGATTTACCACTATTTTACTATTATTAAAATTACACGTAAAAATGCAAAATATATGTATAGGTTCACTGGTCATTTTGGATAGTACATATAATGGGTATATTTGTGTAGACATACTGACCCCTGGTTCCTATCACCACCACTGTAAGGAATAATATCACCATTTCACATCAAAGCACTAGATTACTTTGATTATTTGGCAGTAAAAATATCAAATGAATATATATAATAAATATATAAGTTTTCAGTGTTTAGTGTGTCCACGCTTTGCCTTTATTATAGCCTCTATTCTTTTTTCAGGAGACTTGATTTCAGTTTTTCAAAGAAATCTGCAGGGTTATTTTTTCACAACTCCAAAGTTCAGTCTTAGATGTTGGTTGCATTTTATGATTCTCACAATTCAAGTAACCCCAAACACATTCATTGATGGCAGTGGGGTGGTCAGTCCAGTGTTCTGGACAAGCAGCTTCTAGTTTGATTGTAAGTTTTCTTTTTTTTTTAGATTTTCTTTCGTCAGTAAGGGCTTCTTCACAGCTACACATCCTTTCAGACTCATAGCACTGAGTTGTCTTCTCACAGTGGAAGGATGGACAGAGTGTTTTATTCATTTATTTTCTTTTGACTTTCCCTTCCTTATGCAAGTGGATCATTTCATATCTAGTCGCCTCAGTAATAAGAAATGAAACACCTTAAGGGTGGTCTGGGACTTTTAGACATCCATATTCCCAACATACCATGCACACACAATCACATATTCATATGCAGAATCTCTCTCACCGCTCTGGTTCTGGTCAGTGCATTGCAGGGCTGGGTTGGCGTGCCTGATGTCCTGTCTGCGGTAGCGCCGTTTGCTGTTGGTGGTGTAGCGTGTGCATGCTTGTCCGTCCCAAGCACAGTAGGGGTCTCGGGCCAAGCAACATTCAGCACACGCTTTACCGTACATACTGCAGCGATGCAGCGAAACCTGAGCCACGCCCACACTCGAACCCACAAACAGAGATTGCTGCAGAGAAAAAAGGGAAAAAACAATGAACGGAAATGACCCAGACTATAATCTGTTTTCTCATGTTCTTCCCATATTCATTTTTCAGTTATATTGTTTTTTTATTCAAATAATTGAGAATTTCTGTAGAACTTCTGCATCTCTTAGATTTCTACACTGGGGGGGGGCTTGGCAGCTCCATTTTAGTCCCACTTTTATTTCTTTTTTAGTTTTGCCTTTTTTAGTATTGTTGTTTGTCATAACAACACATTGACTATCAGGCAATCTTTGTCCAACTGTTGTTATGACGAACAACATCAGTAGACTTTCAGTAGACAGTTTGCGTATATCTGCCGCACAGTGATATATGTGTGGAGAACAGCAGTGAAGTGATAGCTCACCCTCTTCACTGAGATTTCCATGGAGGTGATGGGGGTGGGAACCTGGTGGAGAAACAGAGCAGGAAGTAAGACACAAAACCATCTGCTCTAGAACTCACATACATAAACAGTAGTGGAAAAACACAGACCTTGAAGATCTGCAGCTCCTCCAGTGTGATCTCTTCACTGGTCAACGAGTTGCCATTTCGCAGTGCGATGACCTTCAGGACAGTACCAATGTCTGCAGGGGTCAAAGGCCAAAGAGCGATCAGACAAACTTATCACCTACACCACAACAGTGTTTTTTTAAGTTTACAAAATATTCCAAATTTAAGGTAATTTGCCATTAACAATTATTATTGACATCCATTTTAATCAGGTATTTCCAAAATATTCCACTGGTTAACCGTAGTGTACCCTTGCGTAAATGTATTACATCTTTAATGTCCAAAAAAAAAAATGCAGCCAAAAAGGCAACTTTACAGGGCAAAGCAAAAACTCTCTTTACTTTAAATGTAAGTTAAATGATGATTTATAATGGTTTTTTACAAAAAGGACAGTGAGGATATGGGAAAGGCCTATATGCTTTTTTGTTGATACAACTCTATTCTTCAGTTTTTAAATATTTACTTATTTATTTTTTTCTGTGGTATGTTAATAAACATGACCGTTATCTTATGAAAAAATAACATTTTCATATTTATTTTCACAAAGTTAAGGTTGCTTCCAAATTAGGCCTGTACTGTAAATTCACTTACACTCACACACACACAAATGACCAGAACTTTAAACAAACAAACACACACACACACACAGACACTCTGACCTGTGCCAATGAACATGACATCATAGGGTCCGTCCTCAGCCTGTGTGCGGTCCACGGTGATGTGCGTGAGCCTGTAGGGGATGCTGGTGCGGATCAGCAGAGGCTGCCGCTGTGCCGGATACACACTTCTCCACATGAGGGGATGAGAGCGAGCAAACTGCAGCACAGCGTCTGGAAACTGCAGAGTACTGCTGAACACACGGCCTGGCTGAGCTGTGATCTTACTGGGACACTGAGAGAGAGAGAGAGAATTGTCAGTTGTCAAATATGATCACGTCAGTCCTCTGTTCACAATGTCACACAATAAAACAGGCTTTATATAAATAACGTTATAATAACTCACCACTCCTGGTCGTGGGTAGGGAACGCGTCCTTCGTACGGTCCCCACTGGTAGTCTGGCCCCTCTTTATGAGCGAATGGTCCATTAAACACCTCACGAATATCAGCCATGCTGTACACACACACTGCAAAGCCCTGGAATACATTACTGTAAAGAGAGACACACATACAGTGCTCTGAAACCATGAAACAGCCTCTAATCTATAACATCCACACTTTAAATGATTAGAAATATCGTACTGAAACACCTCATTTAAACCAAATGTGTATTTATCTTTAAGGATCATCAGAAACAGATCTAAATGAGTCTGTATGAAACCGATTAGTAAATAGTCACTCAAACTTTTGATGTACCTGATGGTGCTGAAAACAGCATAGACTTCTGGGTTTCTTTCATCTTTCGTTCTCAGAAGAAACACGTCCTCTGCACACACACACATATAAAGATCATATTTCTGCCATATAATGTGTTATTTAATGCCTCAAATAAAGCATTTTCATTTTTACTTCTATTTTTCTACATAGGTGATAGATTATGTGTGTCTGTGTGTATGTATGCATGTGTATGTGTGTGATGTCTCACCTAGCTGGTCAAAGTGTGTGTCAATGCCATGAGGTCCAGGTACAGAACACACCAGTCGAGCTTTAATGAATGTACTCCATTTATTTACCAGCACTCTCTGACCTCCAGCATCATTCTGAAACACACACATACAAATCTTTAATACATAAGACCTTTATGTGAGTAATATTAGTTTACGCAAAATTATTACTTCTTGTCATAATCAGGATATATTTTTATCACTGATAAAAATATATACCAATCAGTTATACATGATCCATGTGTGACATACATGATCCATTTATAACTGATCAGTATGTAATTCAGTAACTGACCTATGTAATTATAAGTCTATTGTGGCAACTCAAAAAGAAGATTCAGGTTGAAATCTATTCAAAACAGCAAATCCTCCAGTTTGGTTGGTTGGTGGGTTGGTTGGTTGGTTGGTTGGTTGGTGGGTTGGTTGATGGGTGGGTGGGTAAGTAGGCCCCTGGAAGATTTTGAGTTTTGTTGTTTTTCTATGTGAAAGTAAGTACACATCCTGTACATAGAGAACATACATATTTTAAAGCACATTTAATGGACAATTGTTGTTTATTTGCTGTGGCCTGTAAAATAGTGTACATTTTATGTTTTTTCTCACTAAACTCAGCAAAAAATAGAAATAGTGCACTATAATTGGCAGAACAATGCCATATTTAAATGTGTTGCTTATAAAGGATGTATCAACTTATTTTCACTTGGAAAATCAACAAAACATGTTGAATGACTGAAGGTACTTTTGTACAGAATATAGAATATCTGAAATAGAATTGTAGAAGATCTGAAATATAATTACCCTATAAAATATTATACGAATGTGTAAGTGTCTTTAAGTAGGCAACTGTGTAGTGCATCCCTTACCACTGAAAATCATAAAGGCATATTTTGAATCATAAATCCACAAAGCAAAAACTGAGTTAATGACTTCCACAAGCAGCCATGCTTTCGCTGAAGATGTGATCAACTGATCTTGTGTTTTGAACTCAGACTAGGGCTATAGTGTACAGTAAAGCCGAGGAGGAGAAGGAGCTCAAAATCATTCAAGCTTTAATGGCACTGTGCTACACATTACTATAGAAGGAATAACCCTTCAACACTGTCACTGAGGCCTGCTAAGCTAAGCGTGTGGGTGTGCGCGTGTGTGGATTAGTGCCCAAGCACCTGTTACGGCTGTGTTTCTACATCAACATTTATTTCTAATTGTTCTCATGAGAACAAGATCATCTTTCATATCCCTGTAATATTTCTCACTATTGCCAAGTTATGATGAGAGCATAACACTGTTACGGAAGGGTTGTCATGGTAACTAAGAACTGTAACGTCTTGGTGATTAATATCTCAAAGACATACATGCTCACACACAAAAGTGTGTGTTTAAAGGACTGGTGGGCCATTTAATAGTGTGTGTGTGTCTGACACATGCAGATAATCTGTGTTCACAGTGTGTGTGAGTGAATGTGTGTTTGTGTGTGTGTGTGTGTGTGTGTGTGTGTGTGTGTGAGACTGATAATAATAGTATGCTTAACTGACCCTGAAGGAGTGTGTTTTTGTGAGCATGTGTGCTTGAGTGTGCGTTTGTGTATTTGAGTCTTGAGGATGGTAAACAGTAGAAAAAATGTGTGATTGACCTTTAACCTTTGCCCTTTGACCTCTAAGTTATAGTTCTAAGAGAGACATTCACCTTACAGCTTATTGCAGAATGCATGTGTGTATACGTGTGTTGAGGTCTTCTACCTGGGCCCAACAGGGTTGCCCAACAGGGGCCCAATAAATTATCAGGTTTTTCATCCAGATTCTGAGTGTTTTAAAGTACTACATCAGCTCGGGACACGTTAGCTTTCTTATGAGTGATTTTATTATATAGTAGATTTATTTTTAAAATAAAGATAGAAAGTAAAGCACATAAAGCGCACTGGTCATAGTGTAACTCTTGCAATAGCGTTTTGAACTATGATAGCAGGAGGAGGTCACTGCTTTCTCAGCTCAAGCATTTAGCAACAAAGCAAAGTGTTGGAAACTCTGTCTGCAATAATCCATCTCTGTCAGTGTATGCAAGCGGGTTTAGTTTTCAAGTTTAGTAGCGCCAGTCTGTTCAGGTGTGAAGGTCACAGGTATGGGTCAGGTTCAGATTTCAAATTTAGCAGTACTGGTCAGATCAGCTGTTTGTACGGGTCATTTTTTAGGTTTCAAATTAAGAAGTACCAGTCAACTTGGGAAACTTATGGGGAAAAGGTAGAGTTTGGGGTCAACTTGGTAAGTACTAGTCGGGTCGTTTTTGGGTTAAAACTATAGTAGTACCAGTCAGGGCAGGTCTCAAAATCACATGTTCGGGTTGCAAATTTAACAGTGTCAGTCAGGTTGGGTCTGAAACTCTAGAGTAGGTTCAGGTCACTTTCAGGGTATAAATTTAGCAGTACCAGATTGGCCAGGTCTCGAAGTTGCAAGTACAAGTTGCTTTCAGGTTTTAAATATAGCAGTTCTAGTTGGTATGGGTCTCAAAGTTACAGATACGAGCCACTTTCAGACAAATTTAGTAGTACCAGTTGGCTCGGGTTTCAACAGCATGGGGACAGGTCAGTTTTGGGTTTTAAATTTAGTAATACCAATTAGGTCGGATCTCAAAATCACGGGTGCATGTTGGGTTTTGGTTTCAAAATTAGCAGTACCAGTTGGGTAAGGCCTCAAAGTCACAAGGACAGTTTGTTTTGGGGTTTAAAGTTTGGTAGTACCAGTCTGGTTGGATCTGAAAGTCATGAATATGGGATATGTGTGTAAAATTTTCAAGTCATAATATTCACAGTTATATTATTTTGGTAACACTTTATATTTTAGTTGTCCTTTGTAGATGATTAATAACCTCTTAACAGATTATCAGAAACACATCAGAAGTAGCAGTAGTGAAGCATCTGAATACACTGCAGTAAATATTTTGTAGATGTTCTGTTGATACATTACTTACATTAAGTACATATATTGTTAATTTATTACTTCCATTAAGCAAAACTTAAACTTACCCAACCTTACCCAAAACCTTACCCAAAACCTAACCCTAACCCTGGCCCTAATCCTAACCCTAACCTTAACCTCAACCCAAAACCTAATCCTAATCCTAACCCTCATATGTTTTTGACATGTTACTGAGAGTCTGTTGAGTGTTTGTTTCAACTAAAAAGGACCACTCAAAATAAAGTGTCACCATCATTTTAATATGTCACCAATATAATAGAGCACCATTTTGAATCAAAAAAATCACAGGGAGAGTTAGCCAGACTAAAGTACAGCCTCTACAAAGCAGAGTTAACTTAACATGATGTTGCAAGTAACCACCACTTACACCACTTTGGGCTCAACTGTTCATAAACAGTATGTGGTACAAACAAATTTACGCTTCCGTTTGTTGCAGAGATTTAGGATGTCTGTAAAAATACTAATAAAAATATTTTTTTTTATATTGAGCAAAATGTGTTGCACACCCCTCTTCCCTACCACCCAAAGTAGTGGGTATGGGTTGCTCTCGAGTTTCAATTGTATCAGTACCAGTAGGGTCTGAAAGTCACAGATGTGGGTTGCTTCAGTTTCATGCTTGTAGATCTCTAGTGTGTGTGTGTATGTGTGCCTTATTTCAAAGGGTGAATGTGTGTGTGTGTGTGTGTGTGTGTGTGTGTGATATACTGTGGTATGCAAAACATTCCACAGCTGTGTGTATATGGTGGGAAAAGAAACATACCAATTGTTCTGGTATGCTTGCTTCTCTTTCAGCTTGTGTGTGTGTATGTGTAAGTGTGTGTGTGTGTGTGTGTGTAGGTGTGTGTGTGTGTGTGTGTGTGTGTATATGTGGTGTGTGTATGTGTGTGTGTGTGTATGTGTGTGTAATTCTAGCTGTATGGATTTTAACTCTCAGTTTCCATACTCTGTTGCCTGCTGGGAACCTATATGGCCAGAGTAATCCTCTTCTCCAGGCTTCTGGCACGTCTGTGATGGTGTATGTTTGTGTGTGTGTCTCATGTAGAGTCTCACCGCACACACTCGTCCGATGCGTGTGTGTATAGCCGCCTCTCCCTCTCTCTCTCCAGCCTCGCTCACTCTCTCAGTGAAGAAGAAGTAGACTTTATCATCATCTTTATCTGTGCTGTCTGGAATGAGGTGGGCAGCCACAAACTTGGGCTCTAAACACACACGCATACACAGTGTTACAACATCAACAGTCCTGATATGACAATGTCTTTACATATGAGACCATACATAAAACCATCACCATCCCAAGCACCACACCACAGGAAGAACTCATGTGCAAAACCATAGTTTGGGATTATGTTAACATGGGCACAACCTAAATGTAACATGAATGTTTTATTTAGTTAAATAAGTTTAAGTAGAACATGCTTTTGGCCACCTTATATAAAGAAATAGTAAGCTCAGCGTTCAGCTGAAAAAGAAGAAATTAAAGAACCAGGTTTGCGTAAGTTTATACTTAAGTTTGGGCATAAAGTCTTTAGTTACACTAGTTAGTTTCAAATTATCCTTTTACTAAATTTGGTTGCACCACAAATTCGTAAGTCGTGTCTTAACCAGTTATAACTAACTAATATGTATGTCGCTTTAACATGACGATTCATAATGTTCAGAACCAATCAGTAAACCTGCTGCCACGGAAACGCGACAGCAGCTGCTCTGACTTTTTCAATGGAAATAAATCCAACATAGAAGAGAATGATGTGTACAAGTTAAACGGAATAAAACTAATAATCTATAGGCACTGTCTATTTATTCTGTGATATTTCCCTGAGAAAATCAATTATGCAGCTTTTCAAATCAACGATTTCTGGATAAACCGACACAACAGCAACCTCAGTTTAGCCATTTGGGCAGCTGCTGAGTCTCACTGAGCTGGAGCTTCATGCTCTGAGTTTAAATCAGGGTGACGATTAGAGCTGTAAGTAAAATCACAGAGTATCACGTTTAGAGTTTTTAGCTTAGTTAACCAAAAAAGTCATGTTTTTGCTCTATTTTGTGTTTCCTACATGGTTTCTGCTGAGGGGGAGGTGTAAATATTTAGTAACTACTAAGCTCAACGTTAAAACTAGTTTATGTGGTACAACTCATTTTGATTTAGTCATGCATAAACCTGAACTTAGTAAACATTTTTTTTACAACTAGCCAACGTTTAATCTTAACCAGCCACAGGGGTGTAACAGAACACAGTAACTGTGATATCGCAAATGCCAAATTTTAACAACGCGTTGTGGAGAATGGACATTCTATCAATTATGCCCTATACAATGACATGTTTAAACACTAAAGCTTGAAAACGATGAGCACTGATCAACAGCTCACTCCAGCTCTAGTGTCTTTAATAAACTGTGCAGCAACCTGATTACATTGTTTTTCTCCATTCGAATTTTGTTCAAAATCTTATGAGAAATCAATTTCATGACTCCAATCAAATCATGGGATGAGTGCATTGTTACTCCCCTATAGCAGAACAGAAAACAGGGAGGAAGATGAACAGCCACCATTACACAACAGAGACATTCTGACAAATGACCAGCCAAAATGAAACATCCTCCTGTCTAAAAGTGGCTGTGAGATATTTGTTTTCCTTCCTTTCCTTTTAAATCTCACTCTTAATAAATCACCCCTTTATCTAGCAATATGATCAGAGGATAGTGAGAGGATGTGATGTCATCCAGCTGTGGGCTGAGGGTATATTTTACCGTGAAGTATTCTCTGGTCTGTTTCAGTTCTCATGGGAGAGCGATTCCCCAAACTTCTCAGAATCACTGATTCCCGCCCCAAAAAATCAGCCGTCAGACCCGTATACAACTCACCACCTGAGAGAGAGAGAGAGAGAGATAGGGACAGGGAAAAGAAGTGAGAGAGTATGAAAAGAAAAGAGAGAGAGAGAGAGAGAGAGAGAGAGAGAGAGAGAGAGAGAGACCAAAAGAGGGATCAAAAGAGAGTGAGGGAGAAAGGGAGAAAGAAAGAAAAAGAGAGAGCAAACAAGGGACAAAAAAGACAGAAAGAAAGAAAAAATAGATATATAGAGTGATTGGAGGAGAGAAAGAGAGAGAGAGAGCAAGAGAGCGTGCAAAAGAGGGAGAAGAAAGAAGAAAGAAAGAAAGAAAGAAAGTGTGAGAGAGAGATAACTTGGTTTCATAAGTGTCACTGTAATCAAATCCATTACACCATTTCTGGTGCAATTTATTAATCACTCACACACAGAATGAATCAGCAAAGATCAGATGTGCTCTTGGAATCAAACACACACACACGACACAGACACACACACAGACACACACACACACACACACACACAGACACACACACACACACACACACAGACAGACAGACACACACACACACACACACAGATGTAACCGGGTAATCTATTTAAAAAGATTGCAGTAAAAGACAAACAGCTTTTCTACATTTATTGGGCCAAAATATTTCCAGCATAGCAGCATCTTTATACACTCACCATCTCAGACTTACTCACACAGATATGCTTAACCAATTACGCAATTACGAGCTGATTTGGCTACAGTTTTGAGAAAAAAAAACACATGAGCATCTCACAAGGCCCCAAAACAGAAGCGCACACTGAACAACAGACCCGTACTCTGTATACTCTGTTTTTCCCGTCAAGTGTAGTCTCTTACACTGAAACACATAATCCTTTACATTTATTTGTTTTTTTTTATTTGATTCAAAAGTGTACATGTCTCACATGAATAAATTAAAATACACCAACACGGTTTTATCATTTACTTTACTTGCTTTAGGTAGTGATTGTGTTGATGTAATATATTCTGTTAAAAGATCCATATCAGACATTTTTCTAATTTCTTCCTGAAGTCAGCTTACACTATTTGTATGTTTTTATTTTCATACCAAAATCAGTCATCATTCATTTACACATTACCATTTTACAGGATCTGTTCATTCCTTAAACAGAAAGTCTATGTGCATATATGTAAACTGCTTCTGTTCTGATTGGCTGCTTTGTATTGTGCCTTTTCCAAAAGACAGTCTGGACACTCCAGACATGTAACTTCACTGTCAGTGGAGGGAGCTGCTGTAGTTATAGTGGCACAACAAGGGTTTAGACACTTTAACCTCTGGAAAAGATCTTTCCATTATTTCATATAATGTTTAAGAACATGATATATGTTTTAGGGAAAAGCAGCTTAAAACATCAATTTTGGACTGTTTCTGTGGGGAAACCCTGGACAAAAATATCAAACAAACAGCACTAAGGGTTTGGTGGTGGGAATGTCCGTGTCTAGGGCTGTTTTTCTTACTTGTGGTCATTGATGGGATCTTGAATTCAGAAGTGTACAAAGACATTCAATGTCAATCTTTGATCTTGCCACAGACAGAGAGTCAGGAGACCAGTAGTCTAAAGACTAGTTTTTGGACCCAGAGCTTTATAGTCTAAATCTTTCCATCCCCAAGAGAGTCATACAGAACGGAGAGGGGGTTTGAATCCTGCTGTCATAAAAAAACAGAGTTGATGTGGTAAACTGAGTGTTCTGTTCCTGGAAGGCCAAATCCTCTTTAGGAGGTGTCGTAAAGTAGTTGACTTCTTTTAAGAACGCTTTCAGCATTAACACTGCTTAACAATGAATAATAACCAAAACAAAGGAAAAAGAACAGAAAACTAGAAAATAAAACAATTCCCAACACATTTTAGATGCAAACTTGTTTAAGTCTGCAAAGAAACTGCTCAAATGACAGAAAATGAAGTGGATCAGCAGGATAACGATCTGAAACAGACCAGCCATCTTTAGAAAGGTCTTGGAAGGGTCTGTTTAAAGTAAGTGGCTGGATGTTTTGTTTCCTAACACAATGAACTTAATGTGTTTTTAATTATAGGGCTGTTTTTGCAGCTTAGTTTCAATGTATGGACTGTATGGACTGGGAAGTAAATGCTACAGTATGTTTTGACATTTTAATGATGTTTTCTTACTACCTACAAACTTTTCTTTCCAAAAAGAGATGCCCTTCATGAGCCCATCAATATTTAAATGCATATTTGAATCAACTAAATACAGTGCATCACTATTTCATGGTAGGAACACTAAATTTATCCTGTAATCTCTGCATTAGACAAGTCATATCAGATTTTCCCAGCATGTTTGATGTATATCTGAGTTTGGTATACCGTAAACAGGAGATTTCATCACTTTACATTTAGACCACTTTCATCTGTCAGTACTGCTATTCCCACTCCAGACGCAGTAGGTTGATGGCTTGTCTCAGTACGCAAAGGCAAAAGAACGTAAATCCGGTCTGAGCATTATAGCGTGCCTCCTAGAAATTCCTCAATCCCCAGGATCTGTCCCATAATGCACTGCATCTGGCAAACTGACACACTGGGACAGCCAAGCTCCAGCAGAGTGGCTGTCACACACACACTCACACAAACACAAAACACTGAGGGGTAAGAAATATGGGCTCACATGCCAGGAGGCACACCTAAACTCCAAGAAACAATAAAAATTGATGTTGAATGACGACTCCTGTCAGTGCAATCAATCTAAAGAGCGCTATAAACTAAATAACTACTGACAACCACAGAGCTACACCCACAGCTATACACACACCACCACATACACACACAAATCCAATCAGTTCTCCTGCCTGGCATATACATAACCATCTAGCATGATGTAAGCACTTACATTGGTCCTGAGTGATATGTGATATCTTACACACTGCTGAACTCTTTCAGCCTTTGCTCACTAACACTGCGCTGGCTCTTGCTTTCTTCTACAGTACTCCACTCACACTGAATCAAAGCTGCTACCTGACAGCCTGTCACATTTACCGTCTTTGCACAGAACCAGCTGAACATTAGTGAAAATGCCATCTGTAAATGATTAACAAAACTTAATTGCCACAGCTAAGCTAGGTAGATCTGAATATACTACATATGGACCATTCTGATACAATGACGCTAGTTGGAATAAACCTTGAATGTCGACATAGGTTAGAGTCAGTTGTCTTGTAAGGCTTATAAAGGTGCTGTATGTCTTTATAAACACCTTTCAGTGAAGTGTAATCAAAATATTTATCAGTGTTATAACACATTTTCACATGCACAATTCTTGCTAAATCTAATGAGTTGATTTTATCCTTTCAGAATATTTTGAGCCAAAATTATTTTTTCAGGGATCCACCCTTATGGGAATTGGGCACCAATGCCAATATCTGATATCATGTGCATATCTGCTGATGCTGATACATAAACATTTATAAGCCTTGCAGAAAAGTCATATTAATTTCACATCTGAATAAAACAATGTGAACCAAAAAATATGCTTTCATGTGAAAAAACACATGATCACATGTGGGAAAAAGTGATAACATGAAAAAATGTGTGATCATGTGAAAACTTGTTCCTGTGAAAAACATGATTACTTGTCAACATGTGGTTTTTGCACACTTCACTTGTGAAATCTATGTGACTTTTCTAGGGAAAAGGTAGAAATAGTGACTAGATCAGTGGCCAACAACCCTGATTCTCCAGATCTACTTTCCTGCAGAATCAAGTTCCAACCACATTCTGCTATACTAGCTACATCTACTTCTTCAGAAGGCCTTGATTGGCTGGATCAGGTGTATTAGTGTTAGGTATGTGAGAGCAGCATGTTTGACAGGTTGGGACTAAACTCAGAAAAGCAGAACTCCAGGAGGGGGGTTGGTGACCACTGGATCCATCTGGATTAGCATTAAAGAGACATATAACACATTTCTGTACAGTTACAAATGCAGAAAAAATGAATAAAATGCAGACATTCAAAATAATTGAATATTAAATGCAATCCTTCACGCTAGACCAGACAAAATACATGCTTCCACACACACACACACACACACACACACACACACACACACACACACACACACACACAATACTAACTCAACTTATTCACACACACGTGCATAGAGCTCATCTACATGCACTTGAAGTGGAACATACCAGTGAATGTGCTGGCAAAGGGCAGTTTGGGGTCATGAGGGCATCTTCCCCTGCCGTTTTCAACAGTGGACAGGTCCAATGAGAATGCATGCTGTCAACAGTAAAAAAACGCTATCATAAAACATCATCAACTACATTTTTTTAAAAAACAAGTATCTCCAAAATGGTAACTGTACAGGAGAAGACAAAAACATTCTTTTCTGTTAATGTAAGTTAGTATAATGAGATTTTTCCTAGTAATTTTGGACAATTTGTATTGTTTCATTGATAATGAAATTTTGACAACAGGTGAAAGAAAAATAACGTTTCATTAAAATGAAATGTCCACACTATGTAAAAGGCATGTACCGCTTTCAAATATATACACACACACACACACACACAAATCTTCTATGCCGCTTATCCTTCTGGGTCAGGGAGGTTAGCTGGAGACTATCCCAGTGGTCAATGTGCAGAAGGCAGGAAACAACCTGGACACTTGACACTGGACACCGGGCACATTGTCTTATGTTTAACAACTTATCAGTCAAATGGGGTCAACCTTAACCTGCCCGTGAAAACACGTCCTGCTGAGACACAGCACCCCTCACATTTTACTAGGTGTTATCTGAAGGCCCTTTGGAAGGTTTTGTCATGACATCAATGATATGCTGATGTCACTGGATGTGTGAATGAGGGATTTTTCAGCTTCTGATGTCACCGACACTCTGAGTGTGTGACTAGTCTGACCCTTCAGGGAAAGCATGATGTCAGTTTTCAGTTATGGACAATACAATATTGCATGTTTGATTGACAGTCTGGACACAACCTCTCAGCATCTGCCAAACACCAAACACTGGATTACAGTGATGACACACATACTTCTCTGACACTGGCATGGGTCTTTTACACAAGAGCTTGGGTGTGTGAGTGTGTGTGAAGCTGGCTTGGCGCACAGAGCAAGATGTGTTCTTTTACATCCTTCACTGACATCACCACATGTTCAGTCCAGACACACACACACACACACACACACACACACACACACACACACACACATATACGCGCGCTCCAAATACTCGCCACCTCAGTGTTAAAAAACAACAGAGAGTTAGCACACACTTTCAACAGCACTCTCTCTCTCTCTCTCTCTCTCTCTCTCTCTCTCTCTCTCTCTCTCTCCTCTTTCTTTATCTCTCTCTCTACACAGGAAAAATGTTGCTTTGAATTGTTGTGATTAAAATGCGTCAGTGATGGCACATTAATAAAATGTATTACATCAACATAATAACTGCCAAAATGAGTAAACAAAACAATTGTGTTGAGGTAATATGTTTTCTTTGTGACAACCCCTGCCACAATAAGATCATGAATCTTTTTTTAGTGTAGCTCTCTTCTTTCTTTCTTTCATTCTTTCTTTCTTTCTTCCTTTCTTTCTTCACCACTCTCTATTCCACCCTCTCTCTTACTCTAGCATTCTCCCTATCTTTCTCTCTCTCACTATCCCTCTCTGTCTTTTCTATTTCTTCTCTTACTTTGTCTCTCCCTCTTTCTCTCTCTCTTTTTACCTCATTCTCTCTCCTCTCTATCTCTCTGCGCCTTCACCATCAACTCTTTTTTGTCTTTCTTTCTATCTATCTATGTCATTCTTGCTGTCTCTCTTCTCTCTCTTTGGTACTATTTCTCTCTCTCTCTCTCTCTCTCTCTCTCTCTCTCTCTCTCTCTCTCTCTCCCTCCCTCCCTCCCTCCCTCTCTCCCTCCCTCCCTCCCTCTCTCCCTCCCTCTCTCCCTCCCTCTCCCCTCCCTCTCCCTCTCTCCCTCCCTCTCTCCCTCCCTCCCTCCTCTCTCCTCTCTCTCTCTCTCTCTCTCTCTCTCTCTTTTTTCTATTTCTCCTAAAATGTGTCAGTGGCCACACATTAATAAAATGTATTACATCAACACAATATTTGCCAAAATAAGTAAGCATAAGAAAAACAATTGTGTTGATGTAATAAATTCTCTTTGTGTAAAACTACTTGCCACAATAAAATCATGAATCTTTTTAGTGTAGTTCTCTTTTTCTTTCTTTCTCATTCCCTCTCTATTCCACCCTCTCTCTTGCTCTATCATTCTCCCTCTCTCTCCCTCTTTCTGTCTCTATCCTTCTCTGTCTTTTCTATTTCTTCCCTTTTCTTTGTCTCTCTCACTTTCTCTCTCTTTATCTCATTCTGTTTCCTCTCTACTGACTCTTTCCCTTTTCTTTTTTGTCTTTCTTTCTGTCACTTTCTGTCTGTCATTCTCTTTTTTTCTTCTCTCTCTCTCTCTCTCTCTCTCTCTGTCTCTCTCTCTCTCTCTCTCATTTTTTCTATTTCTCCTAAAATGTGTCAAGTGGTTGCACATTAATAAAATGTATTACATCAACATAATAATTGCCAAAACAAGTACATTTACAGAAGACAGTTCTGTTGATGTAATATATTTTCTTTGTGTGAAACCACTTGACACCATAAAGTCATGAATATTTTTTTTCAATGTAACTCTCTCCTCTCTTTCTATCTCCCTCTTTGTCTCTATTCCATCCACTCTCACTCTAGGATTCTGTCTCTCTGATTTTTGCTCTCTTCTCTCTCTCTCTCTCTCTCTCTCTCACACTCTCTCACTCTCCCACTGAAATCCATTCCCATCTCTGCTCTCTCCTCTTCCACTCCTCATTTCACTCTCTGCTCCCATGAGGAGTTTTTCTGTTGTTATCTTTCACCTTTTTTTTCCACTGTTTCATTTCTTTCTCTGTTGCTTTGTTCAACACAGCTTTAACTCAGACTCAGTCTTTTTTCCTTCCTGTCTGGCCTCCATTCCCCAACACCTCATCTTCACCTCACTTTCATCCCTGTTTTCTTTCTCTCCATCTTATTCAATCACAGGCATTTCTGACATTTCTGCCTCACTCATCAATCTCTCTCTCTCTCTCTCTCTCTCTCTCTCTCTCTCTCTCTCTCTCTCTCTCTCTCTCTTTAACACCCGCACTCGGTCTGGGCTGTTAATTTGTTCAGTCCTGTACACTGTGCTGCTTTTCACAGTTTCTTTCTCTTTTCTTTGCTGTTGATTATGTGATCCAGCTGTTGATTATATGCAGCCAGCTGCACAGAGCGCTCTGCACTTGAACAGATAAAACAGTAACAAAACGCCTATAACTTGTAAGGTTGCTGGTGTTACATGTAATAAACAGGGGTATGGCCTGCAAAGCCACAGTGTGGGAGTGTGTTTGTTTGCATGCACATGAGTGGCACCTTTAGGATAGCAGGTTTATATGATCAATCAGTATGTTTGCTTTTCTCTCCTGTTGTGACCAGGTCATGATCTCTAGGGTCAACCGGTGGGTGGGTTGACTTTTGACCCAAACAGTTTGATCTTTGCTCTGTTTAAGGTCCGGCGGTATTCATGAGAACTTTATCATTCAGTGTGTGCACTCAGGTCAAGTGATTGTTGTTGTCTTGCTATAAATTCAATTTACATCACAATTATGCTTACATAATTCATTACATAGTTAATTAATAACACGTTCATTCAATTTACATCCTGTATCTACAGGTCCGAGCCCACATATCTGACTTATCTGTCTGTTTCAGTGTCAAAAATGATATCACATAATTTCTTTGCATGTAATTACATAATTAGTTACATGTTAGTAACATAATGAATTACATTTACATTTAAAAGTTTAGGATCCACCCTTTCACAAACACTTCTCTGTTTCAATGAGCAATGAGAAAGAAATAATTATTAGAGGTTACATAACAAGAAGCATTTTAAAGTATGCATGCCATGAGGGACAGGGCAGGGTTAAAGAGAGAGAGAGCTAGAGTGCTAGCTTTTTCCCTTCTGTAGCCAGCCCCTTATTTCCCTGCTTTGGTTCTGGTTGTTGTCCAGTGTTATTTGGAGAGTGACTCATTTATCTGCAGCAGAGTGTACAAGCTGAATATAACCCATTCAAATCAAGGGGAAGGGCCACAATAGGCTGGATGAATAGCAATGTGAACAACAGCAGTGGCCCTTCACTGACTGTACAAACACATGAAGGAAGTGCAGGGAGTGAATAATAAGCTTCATTTCTGGACTTTATACCACTTTTTCTGCCCTCTGTCTGGACATTTAGAATTCTAACACACACAAACCTGCACATGCTGGCATCTGTGCTTGTGTGTGTGTATGTGTGTGCGTTTGTATGTGTGTGTTACCTCTCCACGGTGTCCGACATAAACAAGTGCACACACAGGTTGGAATGCTCCGGTTCCACAGGCCAGCAGGTGAGTCCGGTTAAACGGCTGCAGGAGCCGGATGAAATTAGCACACTCCGTCTGTAAACACACACACACACACACACACACACACACACACACACATTACTGTAGAAGCATTTAAATACTTTTATCTCTAAAACTCTGACTTACTCTTTAACATCTTTAACACTTAACCTGTAACTGGAATCTTAACTAATCATAACTGGAATTTGTTTAAATAAATAAATAATGTTGGTGATTTATTGGAGACACAATACCATTTTTTCTTTCCGATAGCGATATTATACCTTTGCATTTCTGACAATTCAGTATTTTTTTCTTTAAAAGCTATTAAGCTTTAAAATGAGTGCCTTATTTTAATTCAAATATTTTAAGATGTTTGCCAACAGTGTTTTGTTCATTTTGCTGGAAAACAAAAATCTAATCAATGGCATTTATTTTAAACAGACCATTCTGTTTTATACGTTATCCTGCTGATCCCACTCCACTTCTGTCATTTGAACAATTTCTTTGCACACTTCTGAGGTTTGCATCCAAAACGTCTTTGTACACTTCTGACTTCATGATTCTGTTAATAAACACGAGCTCACAGCCACCACTGTAAGAAAAACAGCCCCAGACTCTGACGTTTCTAGCTCTGTGGACTATAGTAACCTTAGTGCAGTCTGGTTGGAATTCTTCTCCAGGCTTTCAGTTCGATGTTGTGCTAAAAGTGATTTCCTCTGAAACAAATATCACTTTGTTAATAATTTATGAAGCAATGTGAACCGTGTTACCAATGTGTCCAAATGCCCAAATACTTTTTGGAGCCACTGTATTCTTGATTTAAACACTTTACCTAAGACCCAGTATCAAGATGTGGCTATCACAGAGATTTTCCAACTTGAAGACTAGGAAAACCGCACTCCGATGATCTATCTTGAAAGTGGGAGTAACTTTTGAAAAATAGCTGGTTTTGGATACATTTTTACATTGAGGATGGATTTAACTGTTTGATGTTTCCCACTAGCTGGCTAATACAGAAGGATAGCTTAAGTTACTGTTTGGGAGCCGAAGATCACATCAGTATTTATTAACTCCTACATGAGTGATACATCAGTGCATTTCTTTATCACTGAGGTGGGAGGCTCCCAATGGTTGTTTGATGCCTTTCCATAATATATGCTAGGTGTTATAGTGAGACCACACTGATGGATGAAAACAAAAATATGAAAGAAAGGAAGAAAGAAAGAAAGAAAAAAAGATCATTCCGAAGAAGGTGTGGTGATATTTCATCCTGTTCTCTTAGTAAATGCCCCACTCTCTGCTCAGAGGGCACTGGCTGGCCAGCGGAAACCAATCCTGTGCTTCAGCTTAAAAAGGGCAAGGTCAAAGTCATCTGCAGCAGGAACTGCTTACGACTTATTCCGTGAACTCTCCACCCAATTACTCCAGGAAACTATCACAATGTCCTGCACGTCCTACACACACACACACACACACACACACACACACCACTCACTACAAAAGTGTATTCTCATGATAACTGTATCTGCCTCATTAGCTCCTTGGAGAATGTCAGGAATAGTTCAATGAAAGGAAGTTCAAAGGTCATAACTGGCATATAGGATAAATGGTACTGTGCATATGCGTGTCTTTGCATCAGTGGCGTAACCAGAAATTCTTTTGGGAGGAGGAGTGGTGAGGGGGCTGAGGGGCCCAGAGACATCACTATAGTGAACCTGACAGCCACCAGCTAGCCTACTGAACTGTAGCTAAATCATTAGAGAGCTACCCACCTCATTACTATAATCAGAGGGAAACATCTTTGAATACTGAACACAACACACAACTGCTTACCTCACGTTAGTAACTATAATAACTCAAATTTCCACCTTAAATGGTACGGCTGTTGGCAAATAAAGCCAGTAGTATACATCAAGTGAAAAAGAACATCATTTTTATGTCAAAATGACTCGGTTTCATTAGTGTGTACTGCTTACTAAACAGAACTCCTACTCACTGCCTCATTTTCTCTGAGGCCTTCCCCTGATTGTGATTGGTCCTGATCACTGAGTCATTCATTCAGAGACCTTCCTTTGACTGTGATGGGTCCAGTACATAAAGGGGGTCCCAATGGACATACACCAAATTTTTTTAAGTACATTTACTTATTTACGCATTTAGTTCTTTCGTCATTTGATGCATACTGCCAGCTTAAGAAGCTGACTTCAGCCCCGTATACACTGGTAAGTTAACTGGTAAATCTGTACAATAAATGGTTGAAGGTGGCACTTGTAAATACTGCCAAAACGTTTTCAAGGCTTTGTTTTCTTGACTCAACTACTACGAGTAGCTAGCTGGGTAGGTAGCCTATAGGAATTAGGCACATCTCAGCTCCTATCATAAGGAAAACAGTTCTCAATCTAATTCTGTGTTTACATGTTAAAAATAGCGTCTTTACAAGAAAAAGTACCTTTACCCCTGGAGTTATGCCCCTGCTGTGCTTGTGGGAGTTTAAAGAAATGCACACACATAAAAAGACTGCATCATTAAAACTAAAGTATCCAATATCTACCTCACCTGCCACATCAAACGACTGTGTCACTCTAGTCACCACAGCTCATAATCACTGAAACACCTCTGGACCCCCCTTTTTTATGACCAGGACACACTAAATGCTAGCAGATGCTGCGTCTGTATGTGACATCATTAGCCTTGAAACTATGCCATGGCTATAGGACATGTAGAAAAATAGAACAGAAGAGCAGAGCAACCACCTGCATCCCTTTTGTGAATTCATTGTGAACGTATTATTTAGCAGAAGCTTTGATTTAAAAATGTTTGAGTTCGTACACACACTAGGTTAAAATTGATTACTTGATTAAAAAAATTAATTGATTCAGATTTACATTCTTAACAAAGGCACTTAGGCATTAGTTTGGAGTGTGAATCGTAAGCTGGGTATCTGTTGGTCATTAGAGAATTATGTTAAGGAGACTGATAATTCTCCACAAAGGGGAAGTTATTAGCATCCCAGTCATTTTTGTGTGCACTGCTGAAAGAGAGGAAACCCACACTGGCAGGATCTCACTAACACATATATGCTTGTAGTTGCTAATTTTATGTGCATAAGTCAATTTAAATGTTTGTTCTTAAAAATTGTGTGTATATAAAGTGAAAGCATGCATGAAGTAAAAAGTTTTGATCTAAGCTGAACAGCTCAGCAGAAAACTGATTGAATAACAGGCTCCTCCAATAATATCTGGAGTTAGCATTACTGAAAAAGTTTAAAATGCTTCAATTGTCAAGCAGTGCTGGCCCAGGTAGAACTAAACCCAGGGTTTAAAGTGAATGTACCCCACTGTTAGGTTGGGCTAACATAACATTGAAATGCTCATAGAAGCTATAAAAGGGTGAAATATTGTTGTAGTGGTAGTCAGGCTACTCATAAAGTGAATATTAAGTAAACACTGCTATATAATGATATGAGGAGCTGTGAAAAGTTTATAAAACAATTAGCTCAAAGCAGCACTAAAAAAATCTCCAAAGTAGCATTAAAATTATCTTTAAAAACATTTAACTGTTTTCAAAGGCACCTTTCTTTATTTTTCAGCTTTGAAAGGCTCTGTATAGCATGTTATTGTTCACTTTAGCCCATTTGTATTGTTTAGCCTTAAAAACCCATGCAATCAATAATGGCAGCTCTAATTACCACTACAGTATATATTACTCTACAGTATTCTATACAATATACTGTATTGTTTTCATCACACTACAAAGCCATGGCAATGAATGAGTGGGGAAGGGTCCAAATGTAATTTTAAATCACTGTGGCCGTTTGTGTTGCATGAAGCGAGTGAAGGGATTTGTAGGTCATGTACTGTGAAAGCGGCATTAAACTGCACACATATTTAGTTTACTAGATCATTTTCCATCCATGGCTAGTGGAGCAGACAGGAGAGCTATCAAGTGACCGGCGAGTAACAGTGAATGTTGATCATGGACAGCCACAGGACTCATGCAAAACATTAACTGTCTACTCAAGGAAGTTTGCTACATTGGTCAACAGACCTAGTCTGCACACTATGATTACTTTGGGCTTCTGTAGCATGTGTATAAAAGTGTGTTCACAGTGTTCTCATGCTTCTAGAATATTTTAATGGAACCCATGGAAAGAATAGTGTTATGAAATCACATGCGATTAATTAATGTCTAAGCCAAACAAGAATCTGTCTTTAAAATTTCATTTGGATCAGAACTCATTTGCGCTTAAATATGTTTTGGCTATGGTTCATCTGGGCAGTGATTTGTTTGGAACAGGATTCATCTGGGTCAGGATCTTACTTCTATTTGAGTATAAAAGATCATAGGCAGTGGCAAGGAATCAGATCAAACACGGGTGTGAGAAAATAGCTTTAAAACATCTAACTAATTAAACATTTTTCACTCACCTCTGAGTCCTTTCCTTTCAGAATACACTCTTCTCGGTTCCCAGGCAATGCCCAGTGGATCTGGAGAAGAAGTTAGAAGACTGGATGAATAGTAAGTTAGGGTGGATATGTATATAAAGTTTACTATCTCAAATTATAAACACTTATACACTTCATAAACAGCAGAATGTCCAAACCCAGACTACCACAAACCTCAATAATAAACCAATTATAAAGCAGTTAAACTGGGTGTAAGGAGAGGATCTTGTATATGTATGAGGGGGTGCTGCAATTACTGTAATTATGGAAAATATTTATATTCAGAACAATACAGATTAATGATAAAAACATGGTTCTGGCTCAGATGATGCTGGAGAAACAATACCACTTTTGTGAGTGTATGAAAAAGAGCCCGTATGAGAGTAGTGGAAAGACACACTAAATAAACCACATAAATCAATCATAACCACTTCTGTGTCTACATTACTCTTACTCATTGTAAATCATGACGTGCACGTTTGAGTGTGTGCATATGCTGTATGTACTGTCTAACTGTGGGCTACTGACATATAACATATTTTGTTCCATATAATTGATGTAGTATTAACTTCAGACTGAGGCAGCTGGAGGTTTCATGCCAGTTTAAGTCATGCCAGCGCTGCAGCTGTGAGCGTCAGGCAGAGAGAATGATCCATGGTCATATTTCAGGCCCAGCCTGCTGCCTTTGAGGGGAATGACTGCTTAAACTTTTTGAAACTGGACCAAGAAAATTAATCAGGCCTGCTGCACTGATAAGGTGCATATGGCTTGTGAAACTAATTTCACTTACAGTTGAAAAGCATCTCCCAGCACTAAAACTAGTGCTTGTGCAAAGTGGCTGAAAATAAAGACATCGAACTAGCGCTGCTAAGCAGCTGAACAAAAAAAAACATGTCCTAGCACTAAATCTAGTGCTTATGCTAAACAACTGAACCAAAAAAAAGCATGTCTTTGCACTGTGCTTATACAAAGCAGCTAGTTTGTCTTTCTCTTCCTGAAAATGGGAGACTATGCTCCCAGTGCTGTTTCCAGCTTTTTATATAAAACAACAAACCTCAATGTGGTACTTTAAGAAGACCTATGAAAGGGTTCCTAAGGTTAGTGGTATTGCCTGGCCCAAAATTTTTTGACCAGTGGCAAACCTTATAATATTAACATCACACATTTTCACCCCAGCTGTTTTGCACATCCCTCTCATCATCTACAGTTTCATTCAGGGGCACGTTCATTCATTCCTTAAATGCCAGACTGTAACATTGCTGGAGTGATACAGAAAGAGACAGAGAGAGTGTACAAGAAAGAGAGTGAGATACAAGATAGAAAATGCGCAAGAAAATTTCTATCAAAAAAGGCAAATATAGCACATAAAAAAATCACTTATTAGTAAAGAAGTACGGAGCCCCACTGGTGACGTCCTGTATAAATAAAAATAATGCTTGGCCAAGACTTAGTAAGGCATGGGAACTAGATAATTAAGTTGTGGCTATGACTTAATAAGCTAGTCTCAGTGAGCCAATAAACTAGCTAAGCAAACATTGTAATGCAAACCATTTTTTGAAAAGTCAGAATGTAGCATACATACACAGGACCTGGGAGCACAGGACCCTGGAAACTTAGTGACAACTTCCTGAAAATCACCAACAATTATACAATTACTTAAGCCATTAGCACATGCTATTCTTCTCAGCTTGGGCAGCACTGGTAGCATAAGCATTGATAACAAAGATAATAATATGTGCAAGTAATTTGCCTTGATTCTGTCAGTTGCAGTAATATGTTAGCCACTTTAGCATATGCTAAGAAAGAGGTACTCAGCTCTTGTCCTGGTGATCTACCACCCTGAAGTGTTTAGTTCCAGCATACCTGGCTCTAATATTCAGATGCTCCTGAAAGAGCATCATCTGCATTATCTGGATCAGGTGTGTTAGATCAGAGTTTGAGGGGATGGTAGATCACCATGACCAGGGTACCGTTATGCTAAACATTTTAACATGGGATATTTTCTTTGCTAAATCAAAGCTAATGTCTTTTAAAGAATGCATTGTTAAGTTTGAATTCCTGGAAATTATCAGTCACCATGGACTATCCACTTAATCTTAGCATTTTATTGAAATCCTAGCTAAAGAGGAAGTATCATGTACTGAAAACAAAAAGAAATCATGGTATTCACAAAGGTGGGTAACATCTCCCTTTGTGCAGTCCCACCATTCATGTGGTTTAATCATCAGTGAATCATTACCTTTTGTTTTGCAGCCATACCCTCTTACATGATTGTCTCAGACCGGATACTGCAATCAACTACATTACTAGCATCCTTCCTCTGTTTCCTCTGCCCTTGAAAGGCGTCATGATCATGCTATAGGACAGTTTGTATCTAGTCTAAATAAAGACCAGGGCCGGAGTTTCATAGTCTGTGGTCATACCTGGCCTGTTACATGTTTTGATTTTCTTCTAATCCAGAAATAGCATTGATTGGAATTTGTGTCTAAGGATGTGATGCTGTAAATTACACCTCTGTAAGGAAAGCACACTGAGTCACTACTTTAGTTCCTGCAAAACTGGGACTTATAGAAGTGATTGTATTGCATCTGTTTAGACCTTCCGATTTGAAAAGCCCATATTCATCTTTCTCGTCCAGCCTTTGGTTATTTCACTGCTTTGTAGTTTATTAGTTATGATATTTCGCTACACTCTAAAAATAAAGGGTTATTTGGAGTGATTCCATAGAAGATTCACCTTTGAGTATGAAGGGTACGGTCGCTGACCACCAACAATAAATTATACAGTTGTAGTGATTTGTATGCTTTTCCTGTGATGTGTATGCTGGTGCAGTATTTACAAGGTAATTATAGATGTCTGGGTATCCAAGCAATAACGCATAATTGAGAATTTGAAATGGATGCGCACCTCCATTTAAACTGACTTTGTCTTGATATCTCGATTTGGAGGCCACAGCCAGCAGTGAATCCTCATTACACCTATGCAGTGTCAACAGTATGGCTGTGGGACGCACCTTCCGGGTTTTGTGAATACTATCCATACTTCATAATCTACAGGTTCCTGCAAAGAGGTTTGTCAAGTTTTAGTACATTTGCAGTTTTCCACACAAGACAGTACATAAAAGTATCCATCTTGTCAAGCCAAATCATCACCAATCAAACCTGAACTTGTTTAATGATGAATGAACTATTGTTGAAAAGACAATGGTGCTATTGTATGTCTAAGTGGTTTTAGGTCAGTTGAAAGAAGAAGGTGGAATTGGGGTGAATTGGGGTGTTATGTAGCAGTGAGCGTCTATGTCTGGGGCAAAGGTCACAGGTTATGACCCCAGGGGTCACGGTAGCTCTCACATGTCTCTCACCATGGCGATATACTTCCTCTTCCTATTTGGATCATCTGACCAGCCCACACACACTGCGCAGAACTTAGGAGACATGAGTGTGCACACAAATAACCATCGCTAGTGACGTTCTGGTGACTTGACACATGTAGAGTTACAAGCACATGCCCAAAGACTTCACTGCACAACAATCACTATAAGACTATATCCAATATATAGATATACATACAATAGATATACATATACAATATACAGTAGATACACATATCCAATATGTGGTAATCTGGCCTAATTACACTTTGCATTACCATGTGTTTCATGTCTAGATCAAATCTGGATAATCTTTGGCCAGATTCCATTCATACTTATCATTACAATGTGTCTCCAGTGTGAGCAGATGACATCTGATTATGTTTTTCCTGTGTTAAAAGCACATAAGCATGTTTTACTTTTGTTTGCTCTTTTTTCCTGATTGCAAGCTAAACTTGGACACTTTCATTGTCCTAGAGAGCATGAAGGCTCTTGGTTTGGGGATAACTTCAGCTTCATGTGTCCTCCATCTGTAGTTTCCTTGTTTAAAATCTCACTTGCTTGTTAGCGCTTGACAGATATATTTCCGTTCATGTAATTGTGTATGGATAGGGAAAATGCATGTGTTTATACTATATGTAGTCAAGATCCATCTCTGACCACCTCTGAATGTGGTTTGAGTGATCCAAACTTAATCCAATCACAATGCGTCCATGGGGTGTTTACATCTGGCTTTTCATGCGGCCAAGTGAAATCCGAACGTGATCTGATCACCAAAAAGGCATGTTAATGCAAACTGTAAACAGATGATATGCATTCTGACAAACTGATATTTAATTATGCGTAAGCTGAATATTTGGCTAACCACAGGGAAGGAAACAGCAAATAAATAAACAAATAAATAAGAAATTAACAGAAGACTGTAAACTCACTTTTTTTTAGGGAACAGCATTGCTGTAAGGAGGCAAAAAATTCAGTATCACCAACAGCAGCTTGCAGAGCAATACCCTTGTTTTATTATTCAAAAACAGCCAAGGGAAATTGGTAGCATGTTATGTTGGCTGAGTAATGGAGGCTTTAGATGAGCTAAAAAGCAAACAGTGCATCGTATGCTGATGAAGACTCTTTATTTTTCTACATGAGATCTTTTCTACTTAGAGGACAAAGTGCCAACATTGTCAGAGAACTTTCTTTTCAATCTTTCATGACCTAGCTAACATCAACTACCTAGTCTAGTTAGCAAAAAAGCCAAACCAGAGCACACCAAGCTCTCTGTGCCTTCCGTGGCATCATACTCACGTTAAAGCACTTGTATTTCATAGCTGCAAAGTATAATATTATACGCTTACTTATAAATGTAAGCAAAACTGACAATGCTATTGCTACATTTAACATTAATCCAACTCAACATTTAGCATAATTCCATGCTTCCATAATCTTAAGAAAATCTATAAACATCTGTAAACATTTGGAGCGATGCTTCCAGTGCACATAAACATCAACATTAACTTTTTTTTGCCTTCATTTTGTTTGCTATTTCTGGATGAACATGCGGGATGTAACATTGTTCTTTTACGTACATAGATCAGTCGAGAAGCATGGCTAGCATTGGATAAAGGCAACTTCAAAAAGATGATCACAATACAGCAATTCGGCTTGTGGTGTGAATGAAGCCTAAGACAGTGATTCTCTTCTATAGAATCCACAGTTGGTTTCTCAACTAAGCTGAATGTAATGTGGAGTGTGTCCTCAGATATTGTGCTGTAAGTCAGCCGCAGACAGAATCCACCCAGCAATGAAAGTCCTTATACAGCCTATAATATTTAACCATTCTGCCTTTACAGCCAATCTACATGTCCTGTTAACACATATCAGGCATTAAAATAAACTCCTCGTGTAACTAGGCCTCATAAAAAGAGCTATAATGCTATAGCTAACATGGATTCTTAATTTGGGGAGGGAATGCTAATGTTTATATTACTTAGCACGCTCTAAATTAAAGTCTTTCACACGTGCGCGGTTAGTTTATATGAGCTAAATATTCGTTTGTTATGAGTGTGTGTGGTTAGTTTATTTGAGGTAAATGTGTTTGCTGTGTTTTTGCACTGCCAGGGTCTTTCGTGTTTGAATGTTTCATTACTATGTGAGAAACCTGACATGGTTCCCAAGTAAACAGACACTATGTTTACCTGTCTGTGGGAGGGTCTGCATGCAAGGCTGTAAACCTCTGACCTCAAAACAATTTAGTTCTTTAAGAAATTGAATTCAGTGCGAACGTTTCACAGCTCAGATGTGATCCCATAACATCTGGGGACAACTTGTTAAACTTTTGGTGCCAGATTGCAGCGAAATGTGCGGCAAACAAGGGTACACTCCCTCTAAAACCCAGCTCCAGAGTCCTGTAGTCTGTGTTCTTTAAACATATGACGTTCAGTCAATAACACGAGCAAAACAAGCTAGCTAGCTAGCTAAACGTAATCGTTAGCTAACAAAGCTGGCTTTATTTTGCAAGAAGTAATGCTATTATTTACTGCATATAATGTGTTCTCCGCAGACGCATCTTCATGCTCCGTTGGGTTCAGCCATGCTAACTTCAGTTACATCTATGGGCTAAAAAACAGGCTTGTTGTCCTTTGGATAATGTTAATGAACACACTGCTGCCCCCTACTTTGAGCTCCCCCCTTCATGAAGCATTGGATTGATTTAGAAACTTTACACTCAGTTCGTTCCCACACACATTTAGTCCAACATTTCTCATGACTGTCCCCAAGGATTCTCATAACAAGGTCACGTCTAGCCCTGCGAGACTACTATTTAGTAGTGGAATATAGACAATTAAAACAAGCTTTGAATTTTTATGTTTGACAAGAACCTGAATGCACACTTTAATGAATATTATCATCAATTTTAATAAGTTGTGACATTCCTAAATCAATACACTTGAATGAGTTTGTGTTCAATGAACAATTCAGCACAAAATCGATGGACAAAAGTACACAGCTATAAGCAGTAGTAGCAGCAATCTTCAAGTCTTTGTTTAGACTTCATATTTCATGTTCATATTTACAGATAACACTGTGTCATAAAGTGTCAGAAACCACATGAGCAAGTCTATTTGAGATTACTTAACAATATGATTTACTTTAAGGCGAGTATGTGATGATTTGGGCCTACAGTTTGCACATTGCTAATTGGTAAGCTATAAGCTATGACATGATGCTACACTGTTAGAAAAAAAGGTTCTGTGCAGGTACTTTTTTCAATCATCAAAGTAGAAACAATGTACATGTGCCCTCAAAGTTACAACAGTGGTTTTAAGGTCCAATTGTGTACCTTAAATAAGTTTTTCCAGGTGAAAAGTACATATTTGTACCTTTTAATAATTAATAATAATTTAAAACAGAACAATAAAATAAAAAGCCTGGAGATGAGGCAGGGTATGTGGAGTTAATACAACTTAGAAAATATCATTTCAATGAATTTATAATTCATTCAACTCAATTCAAGAATGTATAATTATGTTGTCTGAGTAGTAGGGTACCACCCCAGTGACAGGAGGGGTACTGCCCCAGTGACAGTTTCATACCTTTATTTCTGAGAGTGCACATTAGTCCAAACCTAACGAAGCAAACTTTGGACACCAAACATGTCTTGGCCGATTGACTACATTTGCAGGAAAGGTAAAACTGTGTAAATTCCATTTTTCGGCAAAAGTATACCATTAATGTCACCTGACTGTCTGTGAGTCTTTGCTCAGGTTAATCCAGCACCAGTGTTTCTGTTGTGTAATTTTACATATCAGAGTTTGTATGCACCAATGATCAATGTGCATGTGTGCATGTGTTTACCTCTTTAGCATCTGAGTGTGTGTGGTCCAGTCTAAGAGAATAAAGCACATCCTTCCCTCCGAGAAACAGCCTGTCATGGTACTCATCCAAAAACATCGCTGACAGCTGCAGTTCACCGCGGAGACCAGAGAACACAGAGGAGCGGTTAGTGGCCAACAGGT